GCATCTAATCTGGCTGCTGCGCTGCACAAGGTGAAGGAGTATTGATTGCTGGACACAGTATGTGTTGAATGAACAGTAATGAAAGCAGCTTTGAGGATGGAGGCGGCGTGTGGAGGTTCTGTCTGCAGTCTTCAATAAAAAAAAACAACATGTACAAAAGGCTTATCAAATGGGCACATTGACAATAATTTGTATTACAACGTCCTTTTTTTTTGTTAATTATTCAAATAATGCGTTCAAAATCGACATAAAAGAGCTCACGCAGATGTCCACATGAGAAAATAAAAATCATCCTCTGATTTCAGATTGTTGTGAAAGCTCGTGTAAAACCATAGACTGTATAAAATATGGACGTAGCAACCGGCCCTGAAAAATGAAGCCAACCAGGAAGTGTCAAAAACCTGCAATATCAGTACGTCCACTAGCTGCTGGCTCCAAAAAGCCCTGGCTCCCATAGACTTGAATTGGAAAAGAAGTGATCACAGATCATGAAATACCGCATTCCTACAGCTCAGGATTTCTTCAAAATTAGTTTTCATAGTCAAATCCAGAGATCAGGTGGCCAATCTGAAAATAAATCAATACTGAATTTTTAAAAAATCGTCAACATTTTGCGGGTCAAGGGGCGTGGCTGGCTTGATTGACAGTCGGCAGCGACCATACAGATGAAGCGAGCAGGAGGTGGTAAATGTGGGCGGGGTAGAGAGGGCCCGCCTCTCAATCCATCTGACCAATCGCTGCTCCTATGGTTCCGCCCCCCTCTGACGATTTTTGCGTCATTGGCTCCAAAAAATCCAAGATGTCAACCAGGAAGTAGCAAAACCCTGGCTTCATTTTCTCAGTGCAAAAACCAACGGGTGACGTCACGGTAGCTACGTCCATCTTTTATACAGTCTATGTGTAAAACCCATTAAATTTGGTGCTTTTACATTCTGTCGCCGACATTTTTGCCCTCCCTCCGCTGCCAGCGCGCCATTTATAACTGTCATGATGTAATTTAAAAAAATAAAAAAAAACAGAAAAAATTACAGCAAACAATTATAAAATCTTTAACTGATGTAGTTAACACGTTGATTCTGCACGCGCTCTGCCTCAGGAGGATAGTTTGATTAATCCGCCTAATTGTTGTGTTTTAAGAGCGCAAAAGCTCGGGAAAGGGGACGCCGTCGTAATTTATGGACGAAAGCAGTCTAAACCCAAGACGTGGCGCGTTACATATCTAAACCGCAATTTCTTTTAAGCACAGCATCAGCGTGATTACTTAACTGTCATCAGTCAACAGGACACGCTGCACGCTAATGTCATTAGTGATAACTGGCTCGGCGGCGCCGCGCATCACAATGACAGCATCAGCCCGTTCGGAAGCTTCAATGTCACACAAAGTTTTATTTTTTTTAAATCTGCAACATGACTTTAATGCATGTAGGGATAATGTTTTTTGAAAAGCTATTTGAAGGGAAACCCTCAAGAGAATTAGCTGATGGTGCACATCTAAAGACAATTAACTATATTGATTTTTAAGTGCGTTCATTTGCGAGCGAAGACACAGATATCGGGGGGCGCTAGTTTAAAAGGGAGTCGGCGTAAAACTGTAAATGAAGAGTAAAGGCAAGTGTCAAGTGGATCTCAAGGGTAAATGTCAAGTTTAATGCAATCACGTCGCAGTTGGTACGAAGCTGTGATGTACTGTGAAGTGAAATTATTCCTGCCTACTAAGCAGACCCGACCGCCTCATCACGTATGCGTTAAAAGGGTTCCCAGCCGGTATGTTGGAGATTATTCACAGGATTATTTGTTCAGGCTGTATTTGCCATAAATGAGACCTACTCTTGTAATTCAAAAAATCCAGTCAAACTCCTTTTGTAAATGAAATGAGTTCATCTATTCTTAATCGTTGGATTTGTTGCTCCCCGTGAAAAATGATGAACTGCCAACAAACGACGCCGGCTGATCTTGACCTTGGCACACCTTCTTTGACTCCCAGTTGTTTTATAATCAAGGTTGCCATTCATCTTTGTCATTACTCGCGTAGTCATTTGTAACCGCAGAGCTAAACAGTGTTAAACTGGACCTTCCCTTTGCTGCAAATGTGCTTGTACCCAAGCAAAAAAAAAAAAAGATGCTTCTTTTCAACATTATTAATGGATGCTCAAGTGACAATCTACAGCTCACGAAAGGTTGATTTTTTTTTTTTTGCTGTTGCGTTTGCCAATGAAATCTGTCCCCCATAATGGGATGTGATGCATTTTTGGCAGGAGGAACACAACAATGACAAGAAGCAGTCATTACACGACTGCCAAAAATAAGATGCCTTGCAAGATCGCTACAGCAATAACCGCTTGGCACCAAACACTGCATGTTGCCCTTGGCAAAATATGAGGATCTCACAAATTACCACTTTACACAAATGAGACAAAGTACTGCCACTTGATATTTGTGTTTGAGTGCTGGTGTGTGTGTGTGTGTGTGTGCTGTGGTGTTTTATGCTGCCACCTGGGCCGCCAGAGCCGTGCGGAGAGCAGTTTGTATGTCTGACGTTTTAATATAATGGACTCTAAAACTACAACAGTGGCGAAAACCGCGGTTATGAAAATTATGTGGAAGCATTAACTTCTCTGACACTAATATTTACCATGTTGTGTCCTGCTTTTGCACGGGGACTGACTAACATTACAACATAAACACACAAGCTGGTGCATCCTCTCCGGCAAGAGCCCCACAAATTTGACAAAGGACTTTAAAGCTAACAGCTGCTGATTAATCATGATGGGTCTAAATTACTGGCTGGCTCTCAATCGGTTATGGAGCTGGGTGCCCAGTGCACTTAGAACCTCCTTTGCATGTACTTGACAGCTGCATAGAGTAAGTGCCACTTCTGCCTATTTAGCTGCATCTTTCTACTCCTTCCACAATTAACCAAAAATAGCTTCAAAATCTAAAGTGCATCACACATTCAAATTCAATTGTTAACTCACATGGAAAGCGGTTGCTATGGTATCGTGCTCACAGGGTGTCTCTACATATGATGTATTCAATACAGTGCGAAAAAGTAATTGACATAATTTAGTTGTCATACCTCAAACCGATGATGTCTTTCGCAATTGTGGATTTCACCGCGAGCCATCCGTCTTTTCCATCAAGCAGTTTAGATGAAATTAACACGGAAATGGCTGCGATGCTGCACTAAAGTTACAGGGGG